TAGCTTATTTGAAAAAGATATTTACTACCATTTTAAAAGTGATTGTTCGATCCTACCCAGTAATGGTTGAATTCAAAAAATATATTATTCCACATTTTTTAGTGGAATAATTAATTCCTTTAAATAGTAACTTTGATGGATAGAATTTAGCATGAGTTACGTCTTGAGTTTTCAGATTTTCTTTTTTCTCTTTTTTAAGTATTTGTTATCGAAATATTTATGCGGATTCAATTGACTCATCCACTAATGAACCTGATATTAACTCATCCACTCAACACGATCATTGGAATCTAACTTTAATGCAGTGAAATAATATTTCACATAATCTAGTTTCTCAAAAAGGTTTTATATATATCTCATCCTTACCCCAATTTAAATATAATAGAGAAATAATATTTCACGTCATCTAGTTTCTTGAAATGGTGTTATATATTTAATCCTTACCCCAATTTAAAAATGCAAACAAAACTTATCAAATTACATGGCAGTTAAAAATATCAACTCAATAAGATAGTATTGTAGGAACGCTTCATTATTCTATTATTTCAATTAATTATAACAATAACAATAGGGATTTGATAAAAAAAAAAAATTGAAACATTTAACGAAGAAATTGAAAATCTCTAAAATATTTGAGACAAAATTGCATTATTCTATACCTTCCGAGAATACATCATCACATATACATTTTGTCCATTATAACAAAAGTATGAACCAAAATTTTTAACATATATATTTAAATATTAATCATAATAAATGTTTTTTTTATATATATAAATCTACAATAATGTTTAATTTTAATATATTTGTGAAAATAATTAAAAACATTTTTGGATTTTATTCATTATAACACTTAACATTTTGTGGTGGTGGAGTCTATGATTCGATAAGATAGCTCTAGCAATCGTTGCCTTCCTAGTTCATGCCATTTAATATATTTTTTTTTAAACTTATCCAATTTCATATATATTTTTAATATTAAGAAAAGAAATCAAATTGAAGGAAGAAATCGAAAAAAGTTAATAAATATTATATACATAGGAAGCAAATATGCACTGCACGTCTTTTTAATATTTAAAAATAAAATTATTCAATCGAAAATAAAAATGAACTTGAACGGAGTTCTAAAATTATACTAATAATTGCTAAAGTGAGCATAGTTGAGTGGTAATTGACATATATCTCAAATCGAGAGGTTGTAAGTTTGAATTCCACCCCACATGTTGTACGATTTTTGAAGGACTAAGAGCATCCATCCCGCCCCTCTTCCATGGTATCAGAGCTCTTGGCTCACACCCTCTTCCTTTCTTCCCTCCACCATCACCCAATACCAAACTTTCATCTTCAAAATGCACTTCATGTCTCAGAGCTAACAAAAAATCTTTTTAAGTATCTCTAAGCTTACTAAAGATAATCGTATGTGATTACGTTGAATTTCACTTTGATAAATGTTTCGTGGAGGACAAAGCTACCAAGAAGGTACTGCTATCAGGACGGTTAGAGATGGCTTTTATCACCTTGATTTGCCAACCTATCAACAACCCATGGCAAACAACCATCAACCCACATCTCTTTATTGCTCTAGTTCTCATCATGCCAGTAGTCTCCAGTTTCTCATGTCTTGTATTACTTCTATTTAAGGTGTATGACACAAATGTATGAGTCACCCATCTCATGGAGTCCTTAGTCCTTGGTCAAGTCTTCAAATTTTACAATTCTGGTTTGAAAATTAATGAAAAGTCTCAATTTGTAATGCTGGTTGGTTAGGAAAATCACATGCTCTACCCTTCCCATCCTCACAGTCACATGCCAAAAATCCTCTTGAATTAATACATACTAATCTTTAGGACGAGCACCTCATCTCTCAAACGAAGGTTCATCTCTTTTTCTTGATGACTTTACCCGCTTCACCCACATATATCCACTTAAAACCAAAGGTGAAGCCTTAACCTCCTTCCTTTCGTACAAATCTCTTATTGAAAACTAGTTTAATCATAAAATAAAAACGTTACGTGTTGAGTGTTGATTGGGGAGGTGAATTTCAATCCTTTGTTCCTCATCTCTCTAAACTTGGTATTAATTTTCAACACCCTTGCCCTCACACAAGTGCACAAAATGGACGCATGGAAAGAAAACATGGACACCTAGTTAAATGGGTCTTACCCTCCATGCTCAACCATCCATGTCTCTTACCTTCTAGTGGAATGCCTTCTCCACAGCAGTTTTCATCATTAATAGGCTTCCCACCCTAGTCCCTGACAACTTATTTCCTTTTTAGGTAGCCATTAACAAAATCCCTTATTACAGATTCCTTAAACTCTAACTCTCTTTGGCACTGCTTGCTTCCCATGTATTTGTAGTGCACTCAGTGAACTATATTTTATAAGATTTATATGTGAATTAATTGTTCGTTTTTTTTCTTTATAATAGATGTTATGCACAGAAGAAATATTTTGCAAAAATGAATAATCGAGAGGAAATGTGACATAAATGGATCCAATTGAGAAGAAACTCCAAGTCTGAGCGAATAGGAAGACATCACAACACTTAATCAAGTCCAAAACCCGAAGAGATAGCGCCATGGCATTGGATCAGAGCACCACAGCGCTCAAAAGTTTAAATTTTGCGTTTTTTAAATAGTATAGTGTCATGACCCTGTGTATAGTGCCATGGTCCTGTCGCGATAATTTTTTGTAAAAATTGAGTTGTGCAGCTACTGAGAAGGAGAAGTTTTGGAGAGGTTTTTTGGAAGTTATCATTTTGGC